GTTTGGGGTCCTGAGTATGTAGATTTTTTGGGTATTGACTCAGTGGGGGCTTCTAAGGGCTTATGGTTTCTATGGGACCCTAATATTCTAAAGTCTTTTTTTTCTCTTGTTAAAGAAAATTTTGGTTTTGATGGACCTGACTCTAATTTTCGTTGGGGTTTATTGAATGCTTATGGTCCTCAAGTTTTGGCTCAAAAGCAAATTTTAATTAATGAGATGTTTGATTTTCTTACTAGTTTCAATCATCTGATTTGTTTGGGGGGTGGGGGTGGGGGTGGGTGTGGGGGTGAGGATGGGGGTGGGGGGACTTTAATTTTATCACATGGCCCGATGAAAGTAGTTATGGTGGACCGATCATGACAGTAATGAATCTTTTTAATAGATTTATCAAGACACATGCTTTGATAGATTTACCAATTTCTGGCGCAATTTTTATTTGGTCTAATGGTAGCTCGTTAAACTCATCGATGTCTAAGCTAGACAAATTTCTGGTGTCTGGGGAATGATCTGAATTTTTCTCCCTAGCTTCGATCAAGGCTTTACCCAAGCTCTCCTCTAATCACACTCCCACTCTTCTGTGTACTAAAGTTCTTCCTGTAGGTCCTAAACCTTTTAGGTTTGAGGCTAATTGGTTGGCCGAGAAGGAAGCATCCGACCTTTCAAAAGTGCCTAGGAAAATTCAATTTCTATTGATTCTATGGACTTTCAACTTCACCAAAAACTCTTAAGTGTGAAACATAAACTCATTGCTTGGAAGACAGATAGAGGAGTTAATGTGAAAAAGAAAATTGAGGAGGTGCTCAACTGTTTAATAGAGGTGGACTCTAAGGTCCAAAATTTTGGAGTTCTGTCTAAAGAATTGGTTTTAGTTAGGAGCTCCAAAACTAATGAGCTTCATGAACTCTATAGGATAGAAGAGATGTATTGGAAGCAAAGATCCAGGGTCAAATGGCTTAAAGAAGGGGATTTAAATACCAAATTCTTCCATACCACTGCTAATGCTTGGAGACGTTAGAATGATGTTTCTGGGCTTATTATTAATGGAATTAACTCTGATGATGAAGATGGAATATCTAATGCGGTCATCAGTCACTTCAAAAAAGCTTTCACCACTGAGGTAATGGTCACATCCCAGTTATCTAGAGTGGGTTTTAGATGTCTTTTGGCTGATTCATTAGTACTGCTAGAGAGGGACGTTTCTTTGGAAGAATTTAAAAAAGCAGTTTTTGGGCTTCCTAGGGATAAGGCTCCTGGACCTGATGGTTTTCCACTTCTCTTTTTCCACAAATTCTGGAATTTGGCCTTGTCGAAATTGCTGAAAATGGTGTGCGGTTTTTTGCATAGTGATGAACTTTTCAAAGGTGTTAACTCCACTTTTATCGCTCTTATCCCCAAAAAGTATGTTATTGGGAGCCTTAGTGATATGAAATCCATTAGCCTTCTCTCGAGCTTTTACAAAATTATCGCTAAGATCCTAGTTAAAAGACTTAAAAATTTTACCGAAGGTTATCATTGGGCCCCAGTCTGCTTACATCAAGGATAGGATGATTACCGATAGTGTTTTGGTTTCACAAAAGTGCATTTATTCAAGATCTCTAAGTGGTAGTGCAGGGGTCGTAATCAAATTGAACATAGAAAAAGCTTATGATAGGGTTGAATGGAATATCCTTCTTGAAATTATGAAGAATATAGGATTTGGTGATAAATGGAGAAGTTGGATATGGGTACTTATCTTCTGCACATTTTTCTATTCTTTGTAAAGAATGCCCTTCTGATTTCTTTGAAGCTTCGTGTGGTCTTCGCCAAGGTGATCCATTGTCCCCCTTCCTGTACACCATTTATGCTTTGTGCTTTAGTCGTTTTGTTTGAAATGTTGAAGCAAAATGGCACTTTAGAGGATTTCTTATGCCTAATAATGGTCTGTATGTATCACACTTACAATACGCTGATGATACATTGTTTTTTTGTGAGGCTAATTGTGACCAAATTGAAAATATTGCTACTTTCTTACAATGCTGTGAAGCGACTTTGGGGCTTAAGGTTAATTTTGAAAAATCTACAGCAATTGGTATTAATTGTGATAACTCTTTGATCTGTGATATTGCAGGGGTGCTGAGATGTAAGGTGGAAGTTTTCCCTATTTTGTATTTAGGGAGGCCAATTTCAGATGGACGTCTACCTATGGCCATTTGGGATAAAGTGATTCAAAGGATACAAGTTAAGCTTGATTTGTGGAAGTATAAATATCTCTCTTTGGGTGGGAGGATTACCTTAATTAAAGCTTGCTTATCAAATTTTCCAATCTATCAAATGTCTTTACTACCGATTCCTCCTCGGGTTGCCAAGAAAATTGAAGCGTTGATGTGAAACTTCCTTTCGGGATCTTTTGATAATTCCAAAAATTACCACCTTCTTCGTTGTGACAGGGTGTGTACTCCTAGAAGGAAGGTGGTTTTGGTATAAGGAAAATCAGATTGATTAATCATGCTTTGTTGTGTAAATGGTGGTAGAGAAGCTTAAAACTTTAAAGACCAGCTATGGTATCAAGCTATTGCTGCTAAATATAGAGAAAATAGATTTCATATGAGGGCTGGACTAAGAAATGGTATAAAGGGGATGTATTATTACTGGAGATCTATTAACTCATGTAAACCTTTGATATATAGGGATATTAAGTGGAATCTTGGGGATGGTTGTAATATTTTCTTTTGGTATCATAAATGGTTAGGTGATTCCCCTCTGAAATATGTTTTCCCTTTGGTTTTTCAGCAAATGGATCATCTCGATGCCAATATTTCTGATATTTTTGAAATCAATGGTAACCAGGTTGTCTGGAATATTGTCCTCCCCTATAATAGAATTTCGGATCAAGTTTTTCATGAATTTGTTCGTCTGTTAGCGCTTCTGCAAGAGGTACATATTCCGCAGAACGCAGTTGATGAGGTTGTCTGGGAGCTTACTTCAGATGGATTATTTTCGATGAAGTCTATGTATAATTTGATTTTCCATGATCATTGGAGGTGGTCTATGTCAGAAATTGCTGCTGTTTGGAAATGGCCCATACCACTTAAGATTCAAGCCTTCTTGTGGCTGGCAGTGCAAGATAAGGTTCTCACTGTTGATAACCTTATCAAAAGAGGAAAGATCTCGTCAAATATTTGTTTATTATGCAAAAATGACGCTGAAACAGGAGCTCATATTTTCTTGCATTGCTCTTTTATGCTTAAAATTTGGCACTGATTCTTTGACTAGCTTGGGAGTGCCATGGTTATGCATGCGGTAGTTAAAAAAATTATTTCGAGTTTAGTAGTTTCTTGGCTTCCACAAACTGGTGTGGTTATTTGGCAAATAGCGAGAGGGTAGATTCTTTGAGAAGTTTGGAAGGAGAGAAATAGAAGAGTGTTTGATGGGATTTGTTTGCCTGTGGAAAGCATTCTGGAGAAAATTTTATATTCCATTTGGTTTTCATGCTCTATCACAAAATAGGGGAAAGATATTATTGAAACAAGTGTTAGGAGAAATTTAACAGATCTTTTCTAGTTGAGGCCTTTTAAATGCAGTCCTCATGGGAGATGGATTCCCCCTTCAATTGGGGTTTTTAAACTTAATTTGGATGGGAGCTCTTTAGGAAATCCGTATCCTGTTGGCTTTGGAGGCATGCTGAGGGATTGGAATAGAGCTGCTATCTTTTCCTATGTATACCCAATGGGAGACAAATGGTGCGGAATTAATGGCTCTCTTCTATGGATTAAAACTTTTTGTGGCAAGGAATTTAGAATCATTTTGTGTAGTGGAAGGTGATTCTCTGAATGTCATTAAGGGGTACAATATGGAGCAAAAACCACCTTGAAAACTTCAGTCCATTTTGCTACAGATTTGAGATATTTCTAGACCTTTTCTCCTTCATGCATATCTTCCGTGAGGCCAACGGTTTAGCAAACTTCCTTGCCAAAGGAGGTACTTCCTTAATTGAGACTATCGTCTCTGACTCTATAATTTCTTTTAGTTCTTGATTAATAAAGCTTTGAATTTCTATCAAAAAAAAAAAGAGTAAATTTTAAGTCATGTTTACAAGGAGGCCAATGAAGTAATTGATAGTTCGACTAAAAAAAGGGGTCATTTCTTTGGAGCGTACAGTTTCTGAATCTCTTTCTATGTGATCTTTATAACCACATGATGATTTATAATTAAAATTTGGTACACTTGTCCCAAAAAAACTAAAAAAAAAACTGAATTATTCTCCTAGATATTACTGACATTTTTTAGGGGGATTGTTCAATCCAAAGCTTAAATTTTTCCCAAGGCACTTATCCTTCTAGGTCGGCCACCAGGTTGCGTGGTTATTATGTCCCCGAACTTGGGGTATTGGTAATAACATGCTTGAGGTGTAACTCAAAGGAGCAAGCATACAATTTGCTTCTCTGGGAGCAAATAATTTTTCACTCATAATAAACATACCAAAGCTTCACGTTCATCCCTATAAAGAGGGTGGAGATGAATGAACGTTCGCAGAATATTCAAGGAAACCACGCTTCATCCCCACCGTCCTTTCTAGGAACATAGGGTGGACACGACTTAAGTGTATTGCAAAAGCGCTTTCCTTTAAGGTCTGTTGCCATTTTTATCTCCGCCGTAAGGATGCACGTAATTCTACTTCCTTCAACTCCGATTTCTTTTTTTGGAAAGAATACTTCCCCAAACCTATTTTAGAGGATGGATTTGTAATTTCTCTTATCCACGCCTTATATTTTTGAAAATTGCATTCGACCATTTATTTTTGTTACAAAAAAATCGCAACTACTCCAAGCTATTAGATGGAAAATTGGATGGCTTATGACATCATGAAATACGAGAGATCTTTTTTTAACATTGAGTCTAATCCGTGACACTCATACAACCATCCGATTTGAAACCTGCCAGATAAAAATAATTGTAACCTCCCAATACCAAACATAAATTCTCTTCATATACTTTTTCTAAATTTTAAGCACACGCAGTTATTAAGGCAGCAAAAATGAGATGCACTCCATTTAGTTGAATATGAAAACCTGTTGTCAAAACCAAACTAAAAATAGTGTTACTATGAATCAATCATTACCCAAGACAAGATTATTCTTGGGTTCAACATCTTATACTTGTCATTCTTTCCACCAACCAAACAAAACCCCAGACCTGATATTCTGCCAACTCTCACCAAAATAACACTGGTCAACTAAAATCCAACTCTCACCATAATACCGCAGATCAACCATTCACAAATGTGTACAGTTCCTATGGGTTCTTCTGTCTTGGCTGTAGTTTTTTAAGCTCATCATATGCAGCCCTCTAAGGATATACATATATATAAACTGGTGCTAGATCAATACAAATTGCAACTGATACCCAATTGGAGATGTCTTGGTGGAAACTCAGCAACCCCTTAAATGCCTCCCGAAAACTTTGCCTCGTATTGCTGAGGGGGCTGCACATGCAAGAAGTCCATTCTGGTTAGAGAGAGAGACAAAAGAGGTGTGTGCAGGTGTGTGAGAGAGAGAAAGGTGAGAGAAACATGGTGCATGCATGAGAGAGATGAATTGGGTTTGTGCACATGCAAAAGAGAATGTGTGTTGTGGGATGAGGGACGGGGCAGCGTACGATGAATGTAGCGGAGATCATTTTCTGTGCAAACCATCGGCCATGCAAGCCACGTTGTGCATTAATTGCTGAAGCTGCACTGTCAAACCGCAAATATACATGGCCTCCTGGATTGTATCTGCACACAGAATATTAAGATTACAGATAACCATGTAAGAGCAATTTTCTAAAGCGCAACATATTTAAGATAACTGGGGAGATCTTGTACTCTTAACCATTGTCCTGAATGGTTATGTAACCAAACTTGGAATATTGCAGAGCCAGGAAAGGGGTAAGAAAATGATTTTAACAATCACAGATAAAATGCTTGCCATAAACTAAACCGGTCCGGTTTGTATAAGGCCTCAACCTTAAACAATCAAAGGCACACCTCTAAACTGTGTCCAAAGACATGCATTTTTTGTGTCAAAAAATATTGCATTGATCTAAAAATCCAATTTTACCCTTTTTATTAAATTCAAAGCTCCAAAAATGATGCAGATCAAACAGATATATGAACACTTGAAAATCTTGAAATAGACAGTTCAAATAATACATTACACGATGGCATTATTTCTAAAACTTGAAAACCCTTTATTTCTATATCAATACATCTTGAGGTTGAGATGATAAATATGCATTTTTAGCATCCGAACAACCTTTTCTAATAGATTTTTAAGATGCACATTGCTTCAATAGTATAAGGTTGACACCTTATATAAAGGTTTTCTAAAACTAAAATTTGAACACTATTAACTAGAAAAGTACACCGGAAACCACAACCTTACGCTATAGCCACAATGAATATTTGCACATGCCTTTTGAACCGTGTGCAAATAAAGGCATTTATTACTTTTTTTTCTTTATTGGCATTGAAGTTAAAATCCCATTTTTAAATAAACAGAAGTCATTTGATAGAGAGCTCATTTTCCTCTTTCCTTTTATAGCAAGTATGTATGCAAATTAATTTCGAACAATCCGAAGTTCAAAGTTGCAAATTATCACCATGAAAGAAGTGAAGAACCAGGAAAATGACTCACTTGTCCACATGGATATGCTTCACGGAGCCAAATCTCGAACACTCATCAGCAACTTGCTCCTTTATCTCCAAATCAAATTCTGGATCAGTCTGCAACACGCCAACAAAGTGAATACAAGTTCCTCAATATTAAGAGGAAACAGAACAATATTACAGATGACAAACCTCAGTGGATGGATCAAACATATTCTTAAGTAAAAGGCACTCGCTAGGGACCCCAAGGGAGTCAACCACAGGAGCAGTGACTGCTGTTGCAGAGAGAGCACCTAAAACACCAGTAGGTCCCATCATTGGAAGGCCTACAGTCGGTTGACTTAGAACTGGACCATTCAGTACAGGTGTTGGGAGAGAAGCCGCTATACTGCACCAAATGAACAAGTGAGACTCTCTCTCTCTCTCTCTCTCTCTCTCTCTCTACTACACACAACAACAACAACAACTAAACTAACGTAAACTAACCTAACGTACGTACGTACGTACGACGTACGTACGTACGTACGTACTACGTTACTACTAGTACGTAGGTACGGTACGTACG